TTATCTGATTATTCCCATTTTATTCAAGAATGACCAAATCCTTCTCAAGCCCGCCGAACCAACCTTAGTGGCGCTGGCAACACTGCTGGGGCTGGCGGCGGAGTTGGCAGTGTTGGTAGAGCCATTGCTGTTCTCATTGTTGTTGTTGTTGTTGGAAGGTGTCTGCTGCTGTTGCTGTTGCTGCTGCTGTGCCTTCTGCTGTGCGAGTCGCTCCTGCTTGCGAAACTTTGCTCGTCTGTTTTGAAACCACACCTGTTGGAGGGGAGAAGGGGGGGGGGGTGAGTGAACACGGTTCTTGCTGAGGTGAACGTAAATGTTGGTGATTAGAAAGTAGGTGTTGGTGATTAGAAAGTAGGTGTTGGTGATTAGAAAGCAGGTGTTGGTGATTAGAAAGCAGGTGTTGGTGATTAGAAATCAGGTGTTGGTGATTAGAAAGCAGGTGTTGGTGATGTGACAACAGGTGTTTATAAAGAGAGCATATTTTTGTGAGAGGTGAACACGTAATGAGGTAAACGTGGTGTTAGAAAATGTATAAATATAAGTGGCTACGAGTGAATAAATTGATTTATATGGCTATTTCGCCTTTTTTTCTATATCGATCAATTTGTGTGTCTGTCTGCTCATCCACTCAGTTACTTTTATCTACCAAATTTGATTGTCAATAATTTTTTTCTCCTCAATTTTTCTTCTTCTTTAATATTCTTACCCTTGACTTTCCTTTTCCCGCTATCTTTCTCTCCTCTTTCATTTCTATCTCCTTCTCGCTTTCCTTCCTTCCATCTCGCTCTTCTTACTCTTAACGCTCTTTCCTTTTCTCTTCCAGCCATTAATCCTCCTCTATGCGTCTCCGCTTGCCTTTTATTTCTCTCTCTCTCTTCTTCTTTCCCCTCTCCCCTTATCCTCTCCTTCTCCTCTCTGCTATATCCTATCCCTCATCATTTTTTTTCACAGCCTCTCTTTCTTCTCTCTGCTTTCCTTTCCTCGTTGTCCCTTAACTCTCCCTCCCCATCTTTTCCTCTCTCTCCTCCTTCTCTCTCCTTTCCCCCCAGTCTTTCCTCCCCCTTATCTTTCCCTCTCCCCTCCTCCCCATCCGCCTCTTGCCTCTTCACTTCCTCCCTCTTCACCTTCCCTCACTATCTCCCGCATCCTTCGCCTCTTCCTTTCCACTCTCTTTCCTCCCTCTCCTCTTCTCCTCTCTCCTTTTCTCTCGTACCTCCCCTTTACTCTTCCCCTCTCCCACTCTCCCCCATCTCCTCTCCCCCTCCTTTCCCCTTACTCCCCCTCTCCCTCCTTCCTTCCTCCTTCTCTCCTTTCCTCTATCCTCCTCCCACTAGGCTTTCCTCCTATACTGCTCGACTCAGGCATCGCTTTCTCCCTCCTCTCCTCCCTATCTTCCCACTCCTCCTCCTCGGCTCCTCCTCTCCTCTCCTCCTTCCCTCCTGCCTCCTCCTCTCTTCCTCCTCCTCCTCTTCTTCCTCCTCCTCTCCTCCTCTCTCTCTCCTCCTCTTCTCCTCACCTCCTCTCGTCTTCTCCTCCTTCTATCCTCCTCCTCCTCCTCCTCCTCTCCTACCTCTCTCCTCCTCCCTACCTCTCCTCCTCCCTCCTCTCCTCCCTCCTCCTCCTCCTTCTCCTTCCCAGCTCCCTCCTCCTCGCTCCTCCTCACCCTACCTCCTCCTCCTCCCTCTATCCTCCTCCTCCTCCCCTCCTCCTCCTGCCTCCTCCTCTTCCTCTCCTCTTTCTCTCCTCCCTCCTCCTCGTCGCCTCTCCTCACCTTCCCTCTCCTCCTCTCACCTCCTCCCTCCTCCTCTCCTCTCCTTCTCTCTAGCTCCTTCCTTCTCTCCTCCTCTCTCTCCCTTCCCTTCTCCTCTCCTTCTCTCCTCTTCCTCCTCCTTCCTCCCTCCTCCTCCTCTCCTCCTCCTCTCTCTTCCTCCTCCTCCTCCTCCTCCCTCCTCCTGTCCCTCCTCCCTCTCCTCCTCCTTCCTTCTCCCTCTTCTCTCCTTCCTCCCTCCTCCTCCTCTCCTCCTCCTCCTCTCCTCCTCCTCCTCCCCCTCTCCTTCCTCCTCCTCACTCCTCCTCCTCCTCCTCCTCTCCTCCTCACACCTCCCTTCCACCCCCCCCTCCCAGCAGCACAGTGTACCAGGGTCTAGGGACATCCAGCGCCGCTCCTCTCGGCTCCGTACCTCCAGGCGGGCCCTTAACAACATCGTAAACCTTCCCCAAATAAAAGCGACTTTTTCTTGTGCCCGCGCCCGTCTGCATAATTCAAGGGGGAGGGGGAGGGACAGGAGGGGGAAGGGACGGGAGGGAAGAGGAGGGATAGGAGGGAAGAGGAGGGAGGAGGGATAGGAGGGGAAGGAGGGAAGAGGAGGAGATAGGAGGGAGGAGGAAGAGGGACAGAAGGAGGGAGGAGGGAAGAGGAAAGAGGGAGGGAGGGGGAGGGACAGGCGGGGGATGGAGAGGAGGGGAGGAGGGAAGAGGGAGAGACAGGAGAGGGGGAAGGGAAGAGGGAGGAGAGAAGGAGGGGAGGGGGAAGGGACAGAAGGGGGGGAGGAGGGAGGAGGGAAGAAGGAGAGACAGGAGACGGGGGAGGGAAGAGGAAAGAGGGAAGGATAGAAGAGTGGCGGGGGGGGGAAGAGATGGAGGAGAGGAGGGAAGATGGTCAAGAGGAAGTGGAGAAGGAAAGGAGGTAAGGGAGTGAGAAGGGAAGGAAGAGGTAGAAGGTAGAGGAAAGTTGGGAAGGGAGGGTGGGAGGGTAGAGGGAGAATAAGAAGAGGGAGAACTGGAGAAAGAGAGAGGGAAAAGAGGGAGAGTGGAACTGCGGATGGAAGAGATGGATACTGTGTGTGTGTGTGTGTGTGTGTGTGTGTGTGTGTGTGTGTGTGTGTGTGTGTGTGTGTGTGTGTGTGGTGTGTGTGTGTGTGTGTGTGTGTGTTTGTGTGTGTGTGCTTGTAAGAAAGACAATATGATAAAACAAAGGAGGATGTGGATTGCATGAGAAAGGAACTAAAGCGAAAAGGGCTACGAATGGGAAATAGAGGAAGGGAAAAGACAAAGAAGCAGAGCGGAAAAGAAAAGAAAGAGAAACCAAAAGAAACGACTGATAAGATGCAATGGAAACAGAATAGAAGAAAGAGTGGGATGAACGGTAAACGAAAAAAAAAATCATAAAAGAGAAAAGAAAATGGGAAGAAGAGCAATAAAGAGAAAAATAAAGAGACATAGAAAGGAGAGCGGAAAAGAGAAAGAGGTGGATAAAGGGGAAACAGAGGAAAGCATAAAACTGATGATGAGGACGAGGGGAAAGGAAAGGGGAAAGGGAGAGTACCATGAAACATATTGTGATGATGGAAGCAAAGCCTGGGGTGTCATGACAACAAAATTCCCATCCTTGCATTTTATTGCAGTCCAAAAAAAGCAATTAAATCAATATAAAATCCAGAATTAATCCCTAGTTTAAGAAAACATTTGATGAATACCGTGAAAAAAATACCCAGTTAAGAATAAAATCTAGTTAAATCTCGCGCACGAACCAACTCTCTGAACGCACGTCAAAACAGTAAAACCAAGTTCATAAATTCACGGAAACGACATACAGGTTAAAACTCTGCGGAGCGTGTCACCACATTTCACTACCCTGACGCCGGTGTAGTAGTAACCCGTACATACCACTGACGGAGGCCAGGTGTATGTGCGTGTGTCTGCAACGGTGCGCACGTGTGTATGTGTGTGTTTTATATCAGTATACTCGCGCTATACTTTTCGACAATTACCATACATGTGTATATGTATAAACAGATATATAATATATATACATACATACACACACATGCATAAATAATCAGGTAGACACACACATATATATACATATATAATCATATATATATATATATATATATATATAATATATATATATATATAATATATATATATATATATATATATATATATATATATATATATATATATACATATATATATATATATATATATATATATATATATATATGTGTGTGTGTGTGTGTGTGTGTGTGTGTGTGTGTGTGTGTGTGTGTGTGTGTGTGTGTGTGTGTGTGTGTGTGTGTGTGTGTGTGTGTGTGTGTATATGTATATATATATATATATATTATATATATATAATATTATATATAATATATATATATATATATATATATATATATATATATATATATAATATATATAATATATATATATATATATATATATATATATGCTCTTCAGTGAAAAAGTATTAATCTGCCCATCTGATACAAATCTGCGCACACTCTGAAATGCCATTTCCTTTATTGCGAAATGAATAATCACACGATAAAGACAAGGACGAAGCACCAACGAAGAATAGCGAAAAAAAAATGTAAACAAAACAGGACATAGATACAGAAGAGAAACATAACACCATGAAGAGCGAACAGAAAAACTATATACATATCAAGACACGAATTCGTATTGTTATAAATCACATCTCTTGGTAATACATCAGCCTGATGAATGTATTCGCAACAAAACAAACACGAGAGACAACAAAGCGAATGAACATGTGAACAAATGAATGGAGGAGACGAAGAGAACCGGGGGGGGGGCAATGGAAGCTCCCCTCTCCCCCTCCTCTACTCCCTCTCCCTCTCCTCTCCTCCACTCCTCTCCCCCTCTCTCCCCCTCTTACCCTCTCTCCCTCTCCCCTCCTCCCCTCCCTCTCCCCTCTCTCCTCCTCCTCCTCCCCCTCTCCCCCTCTCTCCCTCCCTTCTCTCCCGTGGCTCGGTGCCCTTCCTGTCAGTCTCTCCATATATACAGTGTATTTTTTGTATATGGTTGTTGGTTTGTCTGTCTGTCTGACTTGCTGCCCTCTCCCCGCTCGGCCTCGCTCTGGCTCTGTTTTCTTCTTCCTTTCTTTCTCTCTTTTCCTTTCTCTCTAGCTCTCTTCTCTTGTCTCGTCTCTCTCTCTCTCTCTCTCTCTCTCTCTCTCTCTTCTCTCTCTCTCTCTCTCTCTCTCTCTCTCTCTCTCTCTCTCTCTCTCTCTCTCTCTCTTTCTCTCTCTCACTCTCTCTTTCTTTCTCTCTCTTCTCCTCTCTCTCTCTCTCTCTCTCTCTCTCTCTCTCTCTCTCTCTCTCTCTCCTCTCTCTCTCTCTCTCTCTCTCTCTTTCTCTTCTCTTTCTCTCTCTCTCTCTCTCTCTCTCTCTCTCTCTCTCTCTCTCTCTCTCTCTCTCTCTCTCTGTCTTCTCTCTCTCTCTCTCTCT